GTCCTTGACACTCGTTAGCTTATAATAATAATAACAATAATAACATGAATGCATTTGGATTACCCAATAAACGAAAAAATGAATTTTTCGTTCAGAATGTAGGAAGTAAAGTTGATAAAAATATATTTAAATAAAAAAAATGAAAAATTATTTGGAAGATAATATAATGTTGGCAAGTGCTTTGAGCAACCTCCAATTTAAAAAAAAAAAACAGTTTTTTAATTGCGGTCTCTTTTAGGCAGGGAGTGTCAGGACCTCCGTGTGTATTTCATTAACATTAAATAAAGGTTTTTGGTGTATATCCTTGTGTCGCTTGGATGTGGTAACATCAAGCTGATGTAATATATTTTTTAATTTAATTTTTTATTTCATATTATCTTGTTTTATTTCATATTTCTAATTTTCTTTCATATTTCCTCTTTTTATTTCATATTTCTACTTTTATTTCATATTACCTATTTTTATTGCATATCTCTTTTTTTTATTAATATTGTTTACTGTATTTTTTATAATTTTATTTCTTGCTTAAATATTTTTATTTGTTCCTTCTTTTTTTAATTTTTTCCTTCAATATATTTTTTATATGTTCTTTTTATCATTTTTTTCTTCTATTTCTCATTTTCACTTCCATTATATTCTATTTTTTTTATTTCCATCTATTTCTTCCTTCAAATTTTAGCTTAGTCTTCCATATTTTGCTTTTTCCTCCTATTTTACATTACTTATTATGTCCCTCAAGTTTTTATTTTTTTCTTCAACTTTTTTATTTTTTACATCTAATTTTTATTTTTTTCCTTCTATTTTTTATTTTTTCCTTCTATTTTTTATTTTTTCTTCTAATTCTCATTTTCGTTCAATTTTTATTTTTTCCTTCTATTTCTCATTTTTTCCTTCTATTATTCATTTTTTCTACTGTATTTCATTTTTTCCTTCTATTTTTCATTTTTTCTTCTATTTTTTTATTTATTATGTTAGTTTTATTTTTTCCTTCCATTTTTTTATTTTCTCTTTGTAATTTTACTTTTTCTTTATATTTATTACTTTTTCCTTCTACTTTTCATTATTTATTTTTTCCTTCTTTTAGTATATTTTTTTGTTTTTTTAACTTTATTTTTATTAATTCATTTTTAATTATTTTTCCATTTTTTTATTTTTATTTTATTCTTTTTTATTTTTTAATTTTTTTTTAATTTGATTTTTTTTTAATTTTAAACCTTTTTTATTTTATTTTTTTTAGTTTATTTTTTTAATTTTTTTTAATTTTATTTTTTATTCTTTTTAAACTTTTTTATTTTATTATTTTAGTTTATTTATTTAATTTTTTAATTTTTGTTTTGCTTATTTATTTATTTTATTTTCACTATTACCAACCCGGAACATAGCCATTACCCAATAAGCTGGTTTTTCTTCCATTCCTCCGATTGCCGAAATTGAATCCCCTGAACCGCTGAACAAGAATTGAGCTTGCCAACACGTGAGTGCTTGATTGCTTTAAATATATAATTGATTTGCATGTTTTTTGCTCGACTTAATTTTAAAATTGTCACAAATTAGCGAGGTAATTTCAAAGCCCCTCTATATGTACACTTACATACCTACATAATTTTTTTCAAGCCCAAAAATAAAAACACTTTTTGTTGAGCAAAGAATGAATAATATAAAAAATACACAAATAAAAATAAATTGAACGAATGCAGAAAATGTATAAATATATATCTAAATCACACACACTAGTACAATCAAATTATATTAAAAGAATTTTATAAAAAAATATCATGTGAACTGCTCGTTAACATTGTATTGCCTTATATGCATGGTTTATAACGGTATTATTTCATAAATTTCTACTTTACTTTTGTTTGGCGTGTCAATTTATCACCCCCTAAAATGCTCGACCTCCCACATCCCTGCCTACACGACACCAAGTGTTTTTGTTATTAATAAAGTAAATACGGTTATTTACCAACACCAATGCCACGAGAAGAAAGTTTGTGAAATATTATTCTACCATATTTGTTGTCGCGTGCGTGTTGCAATTTCATTTGCTATTATAATATATTTAAATGATTGAAAGGTGAAGGCACTAAGCAAAATCAAAATTAAATTATTTAAGCATTTTGACTTGACTTCGATTTCAATATTTCTCGGGAAATTTAATAATTAGTGACACCAATCAGAGATGGAGAATGATATTTGAATTTTTTAAAAAACTTTCATGGTCAGCGGTCTGACTAATTTTCACGAAAACTTCATTGGCAAAAAGCTTGACTTGATAAGATTTAAACTCGCACTGCCGAGGTCGTTGCTAAACTACAAAAATAAATATGGTTAGTGAAGGGACACGTAAGAAAAGGCCAACGAAGTAAAATGCTGATCTAGTCAACCTCAAGCCGAAGCAATTGCAAAGCAAAAATAAAACAATGCATTCGGAAAGTTCTTATTAAAGAGCAATTCACAAAGCACAGAAGAACCAAGACTAAGAAACAGACCTAATGATTTGTAGAGGATTAAGCTTAAAACTAACTTGATATCCAAATATTCGGATAGCTGGAACAAAACATTCTGAAACAGTTTTCGTGAAATCATTTAGCGTGCCTAAATGAAATTCGAACAACACTTGGCTTGTTAATATTACTTTTACATTACTAAGACATTATTTGACTTGAAGGTGAATATCATGATTTAATAGAGAGCGAAAGAATAAACGAAAACAAAAACATCTAACAACAAAACTATATATTAGAAGAACTAAGCACTTAAGTACACTTGCAGGCAGTGATAAAAAATACTTGTAAACAAAACAACGAAGTCCTTGCCCTTACGCTTAACCACTTCCTTCGTAGACTTTATCAAAAGCTCATAAAATTTTGATTTGTAACTCATGAAAGTCGGTAATAGGTAATAAGGCAATGACTTTATTGTTTTACAATAGAAATAATAATATGATTGATATGTAGAAATATGTAGATATTATTAATATATTATTTTTCTTCGTGCTGAATACGTTTAGAAGCCTTTGAGTGAGTTTGCCATGTGTACGCCGGAACTATAGCTAATGCAGCCAGTAATTTGGCTCAAAGCATATAATAAGTGTGTAAGTAAAGCGCTAAAGGAGTGATTTGGCTACAAATCCTGTTAGACGAGATTGCGTGTTGCTCCTCACTCTCACTCTCGCTCTCTCTCTTCTGATTTTTTGCAAACATATCCCTTCCTCGTCGACGAGTCATTTGAAGGTTGACTAGATTTCATACACATTTTCATGCTTTATTTTGTGGTCTTTGTTTTAGTTGTGCGCTTTAATTTCTTACCTGCAAAAGTACTTATCTAGATATGAATCGCAGCACTTAGTTATTTGTAAAGGTCATCCCCGGCGTCGGATAGTTTTTGAATAATGAGGTCATTTGGCTATTATTCTAATGCTTTTACAACTGTAATTGCACTGAGTGGAAAGGCTTTGTGAGGGTGGCTTATAATGAAGGTCAACGGAGGAGGAGAGTAGGTATTTAGTTGGCGAAAGGATTAATTTAACAGAATAATTGATTTAATTGTCTAAATGAATGGTGAAAATGGTAAAGGAAAGGAGAGGAACACCAGCCATTCAGAGAGTAATAAATCTACATTAGAAATCCAAAAAAAAACCAAAAAAGGAATTTAACCAAACCCAATCAGGTAAATAAATAAAATGTAATAAAATTATATTGACTTATATTAAATTAATTAATATTAAAAAAAAGAAAACAAAAAAAATTCAATTAAAAAAAAGAAAAAATAAATAAATTAAAAAAAATGAACTAAGAGACAATAACAGGAAATAAAATAAAATAAAAAATTAAGGTAGAAAAAAATAGCAAATAAAATAAATTAAATTAAATAAATAAAAATTTAACAAACTATTATAAAATATAATAAATAGCAATAAAAAAAAACTGAATTAAATACGATTAAATAAGGAAATAAAAAAATAAATAAAATTAAAAATACTAAATTAAATTAAATTCAACAAAATAAAGAAAATATATTAAATAAAATATAATAGAAAAAATAAAATAAATTAAAATCAATTATAATAAAATAACATAAATTAAATTAAAATAATTAAACTAAAGTAAAACAAATTAAATGAAATAAAATAAAAAACTTACAATTATATATAATAAAATAGAATAAAATAAAGTGAAATTAAAGAATATAAAATAAAAAAGTAAAATAAAATAAAATAAAATAATATAAAATAAAATATAATAAAATAAAATAAAATAAATTAAAATAAAATAAAATAAAATAAAATAAAATAAAATAAAATAAAAAATAAAATGATATAGAAAGTAATTAATAAAATAAAACAGAAAGTAAAATAAACTGAAAATAATGAAAATAACGCAAAAAAAAAATTTAATATAAAATTCCATAAAATAAAATAAAGTAAACAGGTAAAATAAAATAAAAAAGGAGAGTAAAATAAAAAAAGGAAAGAAATATAAAAGAAAAGAAAATGAAATAATAAAATAAAATAACGCGATATAAATTAAAATATGGTATTCGAGCGATTCCGTTAAGAATTTCAAATGTTTTGTCTTCAAAAAGAATTTCCATAAATATTTTACGTTAAAAACACATTGTATTATTGAACGAAACAACCTCTATAACAAACACGTCGGTATAACAAAGAACCCACAAAAACAACACCAAACTGAAAAAATATAATATAATAATGATATAATATTATATAGCGACACAGGCTAGCAGCATAGTTACTACGAGAAGTATTAGAACCATTTGTTTTTTTTTCTTTTTTTTTTTAAGTCTTTGTGCAAACTATTACAACAACAAAACAACAATTACTAAGGAGGAGACACTTTGTGGCACACAAAAACTGTGTTATCGTACTTTTAAGTGTAAGAATTTAATATCAATACTTTACGGTATTTTTATTTTTTTTCTTTCTTCAGTATAATTTTACAAAAAGCAGAAGGATGAAAAAGAAAAGAAATTGTAAATACCAAATTCAGCCACGAAAAAATCACGTAATTTCAATTTCGACTTCTTGGGCTCTTCACGAGGATGATGCACCGTTATCTGATCGCCCTCCTCCGAGATGAGCGTCTCACTGGGCGGCGACAATGCAAATTGTTCGAGTAATCGACGCTCCTGCTCCTGCAAATCCTCTGCCTCACTCGGCGTTTGTGCATCGGTTTTTTGCTGTTCCTTTTGCAGTTGCAACATATGCTGAGCGACAAGCATTTTTTGCGCTTGCTCTTCAGCCTCCTTTTGCTTTTTAAACGCTGTTCGTGCAGACCATAGTTTTTGGCGTTGATTTGATTTTGGTTGTGTTTTGGTTTGTCGCCAATTAGCATGCATTTTTGGGTATAATTATTATTATTGTTTTTTTTTTCAGTTTGTTTTTGTTAGTTTCATTTGTGGTGTGTTAGAAGTTGTTAAAAAATGCGTAGAAAAAAATTGAAAATTGTTAAATCAAGTTTAAAAATTATTTATATTTTCTAAGACTACAATTGTGAAAAAAAAGCAAAAAAGTTGTTTGGTGGTTAGATTAGTATGTGATGGATAGCACACTAGAGGTGATAAAAAAAAAAACTTAAAAATTATAAAATTATAATAAAAAAATAATTAACGAAATTAGAATAAATTTTTAAAAAGCCACGCATGCACGCAGTTCCTAGAAGCAGTTAATGAAATTTTATACGAAAATTATCATTGTGTGGTAAATATTTATTAAGGGCGGAAAGTAGTTTGTGGGCTATAAAACTGCTTAAATAAAGTAATTTCCATAGCATATTAATCATATATTAATATAAATTTTATTATTATTTTCGAAAAATTTAAATTATGTATAATTTTTTCGTTATATTATTTTTTAATTATATTTTTATTTTTTTCATTAATCTTTCCATTTTCTATTTTATTATATAAGGTGTAGTAAGAAAAAATCCATTATTTTTCTAATAGATAGCGTTATTTATCTGTACCGCGCGTTGTATAAGTCCGATCGGATCCCACTAGATGGCGTTAAAATGATAAATATTTGTGCTAAAAATGCTTTTCTAGCAGTTTTATGATTGGTCGATGCAGTTTTGTTTGAGCGTGCATCAAAGATGGACACTAGCAAAGAGAAAATATGCTGTATTTTACAGTTTTCCTTCGATAAGGGCGGCTGGCAACTGAAAATGGTACTGAAACTGTAACAGCCAATCACGCGGAATTTCGGTTTCAACGATTCCACTCCGGTAATTTTGATGTCATTTCTGAAGCGGTTGGTAACTGACGATGAAAAGTGGATCATTTACAACAACGTCAAACGAAAACGGTTGTGGTCGAAACGCGGTTAGCCGGCGGAAACAGTGGTCAAGCCAGGATTGACGACCATAGAGGTTTTGCTATGTGTTTTGTGGGTGGCTTTGGCAAACAATTATCTACTATGAGTTGCTTCCCTACGGCTAAACCCTTAATTCGGACATGTACTGTCAAAAATTGGACCAACCGAAGGAAGCAACCGCACAGCAGCAGGCCAGATTTGACCAATAGGAGACGAATTGTGTTCCATGAGGACAACGCCAGGCCACGCACATCGATAGTGAATCGCCAGAAGCTCTGGGAGCTTGATTGGCAGGTTCTTATGCATCCACCTTATAGTCTGGACCTGGCACCAAGTGATTGCTATCTGTTCCATTTTCTGGTGTAAAATTCGTTTCAAGGGAGTCTTCTGAAAACCGACTGCCTAAATTTTTTTCGCCCATAGGAACGAGGGCTTCTATGAGAGAGGCATAATGAAATTACCTTTAAATTTTTATTATTTTTGTAAAAATACTTATATTTTTTTATTATATTTTTATTTTTTTATAAGTTATTCTAATACTTTTTATTACTTTTATTCATTGTTAATAATTTTTTCACATTTATTTATGTTTTCAAATTTTTTTCTTATTCTTTTCATTAGTCCAATGCGAAAAATTCATTATTTTTACATTTATCAATCCTTTTTTAGTTTTATATTATTTCATACATTTTTTTATTACATTTTTGTGATTTTTTACATTTTTATTATTTTCCACATTTTTATTATTTATTTCATTATTTATTATTTCCTACATTTTAATTATTTTTTACATTTTTATTATTTTTTATTTTTTTATAATTATTTTTTTATTTTTTAGATATTTTCTATTATATATTGCATTTTCTTATTATTATTTTTTTACTTATAATATTTTTATTATTTTTTAGATATTTATTTATTTTTGTTTATAAATTTACTACCTCATTATTATTTTTTTTTAGATTTTTTTTTTGTTTTTTTATATCTCTTATATAATTTTTATAATTTTTTATTAAAATTTTTGTATTTTTTTTTATTTATCTTATATTCTTTTTTATTCAGATTATATTAATTTTTTACTATTATTTTTTTATTATTTTTTATTATAATTTTTTATTATTATTTTTTTATTATTTTTTATTATTATTTTTTATTATTATTTTTTATTATTATTTTTTATTATTATTTTTTATTATTATTTTTTATTATTATTTTTTATTATTTTTTCTTATTATTTTTTTTCATTATTTTTTTTCATTATTTTTTATAATTATTTTTTTTTATTATTTTTTATTGTTAATTTTTACTATTATTTTTTATTGTTATTTTTTTATTATTTTTACTATTATTTTTTATTATTTTTTTATTAATTTTTGTATTAAGTTGTATTGTATTAAGTCGTTTTTAATTATTTTTTTTATTTATAATTTATTTTGTTTTCATTTTTCAATATCTTTTAAATGTAATAACTGCCAATACCTCATACACTGACTATAATACGTTCCGCAAGAATAATAATCGCTACAGTGCTATTAAAACTGTCACCAAAGAGTGACAGAAACCATTAATTTCAAGTTAAAAAGTATTTACTTTATATAGTTGAAAATTATGTAGAAAAGATAAGTAAATAAAGTCACCAATAACCAACAACAATTTATTTTTATCAACCCATTTAGTTTTGTAATAAATAAATTTCACGCCAAACAAAGTTAATTTATCAATATTATTTTATCGCCAACAACAATAACAAATTATGCAATAAATGTGTGAATTACAAAATTTACAACTTATAGGAATGTATTACACGTAGCGGGATCTATTTGACATATTTTGTATGTGTATGTAAGCGTAAATGTACGTTTGTATGCTTATACACTTTAATAAAGTTATTAAATAAAAGAAAGAAATGCGACGCAGCAAACTGACCGATTATTTACAAGTCACGTATTTAGCGCCTCATGAAATGCAATGACTGCTATTTTTACTATATAACGATCTAGATAAATAAATTATTTCTTTGTTATTTTTTATTTTGAATTTATTTTCTCATATTTTAAGATTTCTTTAATTTTTAATTCATTTCATTTTATTTTTTATTTTTTTACTATTAATTTTTTATTTTTAATTACGATTATTTTTAATATTTTTTTTAATAATTATCTTTTCTAATATATATTTTTTTGTATATTTATAATTTTTTTATTATTTTTTGTATTTTAAATTTTTTTATATTTTAATATTATTTTATAACTTTTAATATTATTTTTTATTTTTTAAGATTGTTTTTTATTTTTTAGTATTACCTTTTAATTTTTTATTATTATTTTTTTAGTATTTTTTTTTTTATTATTTTTTAATATAATTTTTTATTTTTCAATATTGTTTTTTATTATTGCTAGTTTATTTTATTTTATTTTATTATATATTTTTTATTTGCACTATTAGCTTAACTCTTGTTTTTGTTGTTATATTATAATTGTGTTTTTTCCTTTTCCGTTTCTTTTTTGGTTTTTATATTTTTCTATTTTTCTTATATTACATAAGTTTTTTTATTTTTTATTGTTAAATTTGTTTAATATTTATTTTACTAAATTTTTTTATTTATTTTCCTTTAACTTTTTATTATTATATTTGTTTGTTTTTATAATTATATTTTTGTTTAAAAAAAAGTTTATCTTAAGTTAAGAGAGCATTTGTAATTCCACTTAAACCTAAATTCAATTTTATTGTTTACATACATATTTCGCTTAATTTTTGCATTTATCACATGTGGCTCTTATTGTTGTTATTGTTATTATTGTCGTTGACTTAGCTGGCCTACAATGCGAACGATTATAAAACAGCAACAGCAGCCAAGTAGAGGGCGAAAAATTGGGAGAAGGGTAATAGTTGGGAAAAATTAAGTTAAAAAAGAAAAAAATAGAACAACAAAAACAAGCAATATTCAATAAATAACAATTTAGTATTACAGATGGAAATAAAAAATAAAAGAACTTAAAAACAAATGAAAATAGCAGTGAAAAACTAGTAAACATTTGAAGGAACGGAACGTGAGAAAAACAATTGATCCACTGACAACAGCAAAAACAATAAACATTTGTATACGTCAAAGAAATTATATAGGTGTTATGCACATCGCTTTTGCTTACGTTTTTAAATAAATAGTTTACAACAAAAATATTTATAAATTATTGTATGATTTTAAGATAACAAATATTGAATTTTTATATATATTTTCACAGTTTTGAAGTTAAATTTAAAGTTATTTAAGGAAAGATTTTATTTAATTTACCGTTTCTAATGGTATTGTCGTAAAAGAAAAGTTCTCAACAACTAAAAGTTATCGAAAATAAAAGTTGTTGAAAATGAAAGCTATTGACAATAAAGGTTATCGAAAATAAAAGTTATCGAAAATGAAAGTTACCGAAAATAAAAGTTATCGAAAATAAATGTTATCGAAAATAAATGTTATCGGAAATAAAAGTTATCGGAAATAACAGTTATCGGAAATAACAGTTATCGGAAATAAAAGTTATCGGAAATAAAAGTAATCAAAAATAAAAGTCATCGAAAATAAAAGTCATCGAAAATAAAAGCTATCGAAAATTAAAGTTATCAAATATAATATAAAAGTGATCAAAAATAAAAGATATTGAAAGCTTAAAGATATTGAGAACAAAAATTATCGAGAAATAAAATTATCGAAAGTTGTAATTAGTTGTAATGACCGAAAGCTAATTTAAAGTAGAAACATTAAATTATTGAAATTTGTTGTTATTGCAAATCCAAAATTATGATTAACAAAGATAAAAATTTTGATAGCAAAAATGATTGAATAAAAGAAAGTTGTTATAAATGCGAGTTATCAAAAATGATAATTATGTATGGATGAAAAATACAAAATTTCGAAAATTATTTTTGTAAGAAATCGAGGTTATCCCAAAATAAAGT